CCCCCTCACACACGCACTCTCTCTCTCTCTCTCCCCCCTCACACACACACACACTCACTCTCCCCACCTCGCACACACACTCACTCTCCCCACCTCGCACCACACTCACTCTCCCCACCTCGCACACACTCACTCTCCCCACCTCGCACACTCACTCACTCTCCCCACCTCATACACACACTCCCTCTCCCCACCTCGCACACACACTCACTCTCCCCACCTCGCACACTCTCTCTCTCTCCCCCAACACACACACTCTCTCTGTCTCCTCCCTCTCTGTCTCACACACATACTCTTTCTCCACCCCCCCATACACAAACACATAGATACTCTCTCTCTCCCCCCTCACACACAGACAGACACACTCTCTCTCCCCCTCTCACACATACATTTTTATTTGCAGATACATTTTATTTTGTTCAGAAAGCGCACAATTTATAGGCAGTCTGTCAATATGGTGTTTTATAAATTCCTACTTTATGAATAAAACCAATCTAACTCCAAACTAAAACACAAACAGATTTTAAACAAGGTCTCACATCTAACGTGCAGTGTTTGGCCTAAAATGTCACCTCTTCTTTACACTGATAAAACCTTTAGTTCTCTCATGACCGTAACTTGAAATGAATTTGGGGATTTACATATACATATTAACTGATTAAAGATTAAACAGCTACTTAGATTTGTTTAGTACATACTCCTCATTGATGGTGTGAACGTTTGATCTTTTACTTATAAAGTCTGCGTCTGATTCTACCTCTGTCACTAGCACCTGAAGAAGGACTGAAGCTCCGAAAGCTTGTGTTTTCAAATAAACCTGTTGGACGATAACCTGCTGTCGTGTGATTTCTGACTTTAATAACTTCAGCTGAGCTCTTCCCCTTTAACTTTTTCCATAATTTTGCATGCAAGTCATCACCCACTGCACCCTCCCCCAACCCACATCCCCTTTAACTATTTCATTGGAAGTCCTATGAATTGCCCTAATTATGTCTTTCTGGAGTGGTCCAGGATGCATCCATCCTGCTTCATCCTCCTCTTCCCCCTTCTGAGGTGATATTCTACTTCCTGTGCAAAATTTGACTGTCCCACTTACTGTATTTCATCTGTGATTGCCCTTTAATCATATTCCATTGCACAGTGACTTTGAGAGCTTACTCTCTGCAGGTACAAGCTGGTGTCAAGGCTTAGTTTGTAGCACTCTTGCTTCCTGAGTCACAAAGCTGTAGGTTCAAACTTGCTTTCAGGATGGGAACACAAGAAGAAAGTTTGACAATCCAGTGCTGAGATTTGGTCTTTGAATGCAACATTAAACTAAGATCGGATAAGATTACAGGATCCCATGGCACTATTTTGGGGAGAAAAAAGCACAAGCGTCATCCCTCCTGGTCAATATTTAACCCACAAGCAACATCCCAAAACAAAATTTCTCCGTTTTATGTTTACAAATTATGTACCACATTTCCCCCATTACAACAGACATAACGTGTTTCAAAAGTATTCATTGGCTGGAAGGTGTTGTGCGGCATCTGGTGGTCATGCAAGGTATTACATAATTATTTTATAAGCTGCCAAATCTCTTCAACTCAGCAGAAACATTAAGGTATCGGAATAAAGACTTTCTCATTTTGAAGACTTCCTCGTAGCTGCTGCTAGGACAGCAGGCATTTCTCAATATCACATACCAACAGGGTAATTGCAGGAAGGATGTTCCCAAACATAGTCAATTTAGCCCATTTAGGTCAGAGTCAAGGTAAAATTTCTTCACCCACAGAGTGGTAAGCCTTTGGAGTTCTCTGTTACAGAAAGTGGTTGAGGCCAAAACATTCAATGTTTCCAGAAGAGTGATCAAAGGGTATGAGGAGAAAGTGGGAGTGGGGTACTCAGTAACATGATCATATTGAATCAGACTCGAAGGGCAGAATAACCTCCTGCTACTCCTGTTTTCTCTGCTTTTATGTACTGTGCCATTTCACACATGAACTGCACATTTAGTGAGAAACAGGCTTTGCGGTTCCTGTACCTTTCCCAGTTGATATAGAGGACTCACAGAAACCCATGTCCTGTGCCATTGGGAAACTAATTATCTTGGCAAATCCTTGTGCCCACTCATCCCAAGTTTCTGTCCCAAGGGCAAAAATCTATTCATCTTCCCTGTCATGAGCGGTCTCCATCATCTCCTCAGAGCATCAACATTTGGCATGCTGGGAGATGTTGAATATATCAGTGCGCCTGCTTGTAAAGGCCAGGAGGCATGGACATTAACTGCCCTTTGACCCCCACAACCCTGGCAGCTTAATCTTCACTGAGATTTGTAGCTCCAAGCTGTGGCATGATCTGCAACCATCTTGTTGAAGCAAAAACAGAAATTGCTGGAGAAACTCAACAGGTCTGGCAGCATCTGTGCAGAGAGAAATGGAGTTAACATTTCGCATCCAGTGACCTGTCTTCAGTTCATTTCTACTTAAACTCTGCTTTCTCTGCACAGATGCTGCCAGACCGGCAGAGTTTCTCCAGCAATTTCTGCTTTTGTTTCAGATTTCTGGCATTCACATCTCTTTGTTTTACGCTCATGTCGGACCTGAGTTCCTTCAGACATTTTCCCCCTCAACTAACCCAGGAACAGAGAAATGATCTCAAAACACCCTGTGATGGCTAGGGCACTCAGTACACAGCGCTCATCCTTTTGCCTCTGTGAAGAATTTGCCATGCCTACCACCTCAGCTGCTCGAGCTGCTCATGCTGCCAACTCTGAGAAACTGCAAACACAGTTCCTGTATCCTCTGACCTCTCTACATGTTTGCAGCAACTCACCGCAGGAAGAACCTTCAAAAATAAGCCACAACACTTCCTCTAACTCTGCTATGGCCGAAGTAGGTGAAAAGCACCTTATCTCGAAGCCGAGACAACAAGGTGCAGAGCTGGATGAACACAGCAGGCCAAGCAGCATCATACCTTTTAATTAGCATTAGCGAAGAGGCAGTAGCATAGTAGTGCTGGGAGTGAGGAGATAAGATCCGACTATCCTTACTCCCCCTCTCCAACCCCAACAGAATCAGCTTATTCAATCGATTTAATTATTAATCCAAAACCTGAAGGATGTGGGTTTCTAACTTAGCAATTGATTCAACTTTACCAGCTATAGACTTGGTCCTGAAACAAAATGTCCTCATTGCCAGTCTTTTTAGGCTACTAAGGAGATCTCAGAATAAAACATATCTGTTTTGGTATATTATAGCAGGAAATACTCACCTGAGTTAGCCTGTCGCAGTACATAACATTTCTCATCATAGAATTAAAGACTCTTGGTCATTTACAGCACAAACAGAGGTCATTCAGCCCATCACGTCC